GCAACGATGCTCACACACCAGGACACTCGAGCGCCCATTAGCATCGCTGTAGATGCATATGACTCAACAGCCGGAGAAGTCTTAAAATGATGAGTTAAACACTCCTGGCGACCTTTAGCATTTTTCTCGAAACGGTTGCTATACACTGAATCGAGGTACGGCACTTTCGGTAGGGAACTCCTAGCTACGTATCGTGCTGTACGGCATTTCCAACATTATATCGAAGGCCGGCACGCACGATGATTCTTCGGCAGTATCTGAAAATAAACTTAAAACAATGCGTTCTGGAAGAAGATTAAGATTTCCAGATTAGATCAGACGATCCTTGATATATTGATAGCCTATCAAATATGTCTTCGAACCTCCTCTCTTCTGTCTTTTTATTTTACTTGGTGGGTACGATTCATATTAGGTGTCAATGGTTAAAGCGTTGTCAAACTCCAAATACTGTGGTATCTTCAGTCTGTTTCTGGCAGGAAAATTAATAGCCTGACCACCCTATTCATCATTAATCATCTGGGATTTCATAGAGTGTGTGGCATGGCCGTGATTGCTACTTCATTGGAAGTCGATGACTTGGTACAGATTGAGAATAATAAACAAAATAACGTTACTAATGAAAAGCCATTCCCCAGAAAGTAATTGAGAAATTGAAGGCTGATCACAGAGACAGGTCAGCTATCCTTCGTGGAGTGAAAGAAATTTAAAACCAAGAACCTAAAACTCATTTTGAGCACGCCATTGATTTGGTAAAACAATTACTTGGCCAGCTAATGCCTCAGGATATCTCCAGAGTCATCTTCCTAAGGGTCTATGGAAAAGGTAGCCAAATGAACTTGCAACAGAACCAAACCAGTCTGCTAAAGATAGTGTTAAAATCTCTCAATGAAAGGGGCCTTATACTACTAAATGGACATAAAATAAAGTGGTCAAGAGTTTTTGTGCTTAAAGACTTTCCGCATGCTTGCGGAAAAAACCTAAAAATTGTGGATTTACTGATGGTGAGGCTTCGACAGAAAACGACGCTGAAACCATTCTGGGTGCAGCACGAAGCCATTTTAATGGGTTTCCAATCTGTTACACAAATGCCCGAGACTTGCAAAATAAGCGGTCGTAGATAGATGTACATATTGAATCTACCATGCCAGGTGTAATCGCTGTCACAGAAACTTGATTGACGCAGTCTATAGACAGTATGGGACTTGATTTTATAGATTTTTCATCAGTAGGAGCCAACAGAGTACAGAAGCGTAAAGGTTAAGAAGTAGCTTTATTCATTGAAAATACTATCCCATTTACCGTTGATAATGACACGTCTCATGAAAGTGGAACAGGTGAATTAGTTAGTTGCCTCTTGAAATGCCAAAGGGAAAACCTGCTGATTGGTTTGGTCTACTGCAGTCCAAGCTGCGAGGTGAATTATGTCTTGCTGGGCGGTCTCAAAACTTGGTCACAAAGTGGTTGGTGCTTAGTTCTAGGAGAAATTAATGCATCTACGGTAGACTCGAAATATCTGAGTACTGAAATGTCAGAAACTCCCTTCGAACAGGAACTAGTTGATGCGACTATCACATATACTATGGTGCAAAATAAGAAGGAAACAATTAGGTACGACCCGGACTCCGAATCATCCTTACTAGATCTCATATTGACAGATTATTAAGATGATGTTGCGAACCTCGATTACATGCTAGCCCTAGGTGAGAGTGATCACGCAGCTTCAATCATCCGTATAGTCGCCATAAACAAGCATGTGTCAGTTCAACCCGGACCTAACGTACCAATTCTATTACGTCGCTATCGTAGTCATCAGACAATTTTCGAGCCGCCTTTGCCAATGCGAAATTTGCACAGAAGGGTGAGGATACTGCTCCGAAAAGGTGTGATGCCATCTGATAGTCTACAGGTTAGTTCGCGAGATCACACTTTGGCCGCTTAAGAGGGTCTCAATATTTCAGTAGGACACGTGTATTCATAACATTGAAATTATTAATACTCAATGCAATAGTTGTTAATATGTCAAATAATTTCAGTTCTTCATAATGATTACGAGAATAATAAAGAAGAACGAAGATGAACAGAATTTAGTGTGTGAGAGTAGGACAACGATGAAATACTGGAGAAGCAGGTAAGTTAAAAAACAATAAGAATGGATACTTTCAGTTAAAGAAGTTCCCCTCACTTTAATGAAGAAAGTGAAAGTTTCGGCAGGATACCCATTGGCTTTGATTCCTAACCATCTCTGATTATGTCTCAAGCCACTGCGTTGTACCTTTTCTAGGATCCCAACAACAGAGTCGTGAAGAACCGACAGAAGCCAATCCTCTACAACCTTCTTTCATACCACGACACCATGTCATACACTTCACACTTCTCTGTATTTTCTAACCGGTCCCAAAATAGGCAAATAATGCACGATGTGGAACTCTTTTTGACAACATGTTTTACGAAAACAGTCATTGTCACTATAACTGTATGTATGTATGTATGTATGTATGTATGTATGTATGTATGTATGTATTTGGAATAATGAATTCAAATATCACATTAGATGTCTATTTAAACGTTTGGACCATTGGCTATAACAAGATCACTGCATTTAGATATGATTATAATTTACTGATGTAATAACCAAACTACACCGTAGTTGCAAGTCATAAAAGTCCTTAAAATTGAAGCAGTGCAGTTCAATAATCAACTTTACATCCAATGAACTAATATTTCTGTCTCGTGAATAACTCAGATTCATTAACTTTTTACAATCATGTAATATTCCTGACATTTCTGAATCTTTAAACATAGATTCGGTACTAAGAACAAACGGAATAAATATTCAGTATACATAACAGGTACTGACACCCCAATGTAACAAAGTCACCATATTGGAAATCGGAAATATTTGGGCCAACTCATTACCCAAGTATAGAAGGTTGTGTGAATAATAGCTTGTTAAGGAATCTGTAGGATACCAGATACCGAAGGACAAGACGGGATGAGAGATCTCAGCACTACATTGAGATGGTGATAGTCCATTGCCATTAGATGGCTGTGATAAGGTCCAGGTATTCTGACACCGCTTCAGCAGCGTATATACTGTAGAGGTGCCCTTTCCTCGGGTACAAATGACTCGTTCTATCCACACTCCTTACAATAAGACTATGAGATGTTCTTGGCCTCTAAAACAAATTAGGTAATGTCGATTCTATGAAAATCGATGAAATGTAGCGTTGATAACAGAAGTAACTTACAAACTACAAACCTTTAATCACATGCTTTAGTCTATCTATAACCCAAAGTAGAACACCAAGCTACCAGAAGAATGTCATAGTTACCTCCGTCTTCGAAAAAGATGCGACTCATAAACCTGCGAGTAACCAGTTCATGAGATTAAACAGATTGGTTGCCAAGATTCTACAAGAGATTATCCCCAATGTGTTGTGCATTTATGTGATCTAAAGCTACCAATAGATGTAGCGTTCACCGATTTCAGTATGATTTTTGACGACGTTCTATGAGACAAGTTTTTACTTAGGTGATAGGGGATTTTCAGATAAGTAATTTGTTTATGTAAATGACTCCGTATTTCAGCACCAACAACGAGTACGGGTTAATCACAAGTTGCTCCACTGGAAAAAAGTGCTCAGTGGGGAGCCTCATCAAATTCATGGGAAATGTATGATTTGACTTACATATAAATATCCTTTCTTGTATCCTATGATAATCGGTTTCGCTGTGTGCCGAGGATATCAAGAGAGGGCAACGAAAAATGAGGGAGATAGTTTAGAGCTTTAGAATGATTTGCAGAAATAATCAAAATTGCCCAGAATTTGATATTTTTCGATAAATATTTCTAGATGTATGATGATTAAAATTGGTCACCGAGACACAAACACATATACTGCGAATATTATTGAGCTACCTACTGATTAGGCACAATGACGTGGTGGTCATTGTCAGTCAAGATTTAGAATCAGTACACAGTGTTATAAATTCGTTCATAAAGGTCTTAGAACTCCCTAGAAAATACGTAGAGCCTTTAGCCACGTAACTGTCAAGATAGTTTTCATTTTGTAGGCACAGGTGTTACATAGAAGCATTTGGCTTCCGCTATAAGTAAACAGTGAACGTTTGTAGAAAGTTCAAATAACTGAAACTAAGTTGAGTCTCTGGAAGCTGATGTATGACGAGAAAATGGCTAAACTAAGCCGTCAGAGAAAGACGACTTTTAAGATACCACACGTATTTGCAGTTTAGCAACACTTAACCAGTAACATTTATAGTTGAACGTGCTCACCCAATGAAAAAGTCAGAAGGGAGTAAGTTCGAAGATATATTTGATAGGTTATCAATATATCGAGAAGTGAGTGATCTAAACTGGCTAACAGTCTCAGGAGGAGTTTAACACGGCGTTCCCACTCGTGATCTGGTGCGAATGCATGACCGAGCGTCTTCAGTTAGGTGGGTCCATTAAAACTAATGTGGTCAGCATCAAATGTCAATGACTTATAGTGCTTTTGAGTTTGGGGATTTAATAACCTCTACAACTTAATTGCAATTCCAAGAAGTTAAGCATGTGACATGCTCTAAACCTTCGTATCCTCCAAAATGGAGAATCTGTGAGGGAGTTTAAAAGGGGTTCACAAGCCAAGAACAAACTGCGTATCAGCTACATACCAACTTTTTTCTTAGAATAGTTGTTGAGTGGAAGTCTTTACTTCACTGAGAGATTTAAATTTGATCTGTCAATATCTTCAAGGAAAAGTTGGATCGGATAGCAAATTTTCGTCGTCTGAACCAATATAAACCACTCAGCCTCCTGTCCATTTCAAACTGGAAATGAAACATCAAATACTTCACACTCAAACTAGTAAGCATCAATCCAGATTGAAGACAAAACTCCACCATTTTTTTAATTTGAGTAGCTTAGCCTTTAGGAGTCCAACGTTAAACTTTGTTTCTGAAAACCACTTTGTTTGTTCATTTAGTACTGTAGGCCTTTCAAATGACCTTTACCAGCGCTTAGTATGGCTATGTGAAATGCCGTCACTAATGTTTGTTGTTCATTGTTAACTATTTTTCTGCTTACATAGTGTCCATTGTTGCACGTGGAACGTCGGTGATGAAAAACCAGGAAGCGAAGACCTCTCTTCCCTTCTTGGAGTTAACGCAAAACCATCACCCGATGTAATAAGCGTTGCGTAAGTTCTCTGTAAAGTTATAATTCACTTCATAGACTTCAAGAAGTCTGTGGAGATGACGCATGGAGACAAAAGCTACTGGAACACTTGTATCCTCATGGTTATGTGCTGGTAAGCATTGTGTTAGTGGCCGTCAACCCTGTAAATTCATTTGAATAGATCAAGTCACGTAATTGTTGGGCCATTTGGATTTTTTCGTTTCTGAAGAGAAACCTTTTGCCTGCAGTCACAAATATTGAGTCCGAGGTAACAGCCTCAGGATATGCTGGTGTCATGGTTTGTTCGATGCTTAGACATATTTGAGGTTTTAAGGGAAATAAGGGCGGGGTTAGTGCGAGATTTGAACTTTGTGGGATAAACATGATCTTTCTTTCGTGTCATTTTACTGCCCACAGAGAAAACAAGCAAGATCGGTTAAATGTAAGCAGTTTCCTTCTTTGTTTATATCACAGGATTATATCGATATTATAGATCATCAGAGTTTTAGGGATGAAGATGTCAATGTCATCATTGATCATGAGTGAGTTGTCTCGTTTTTGATAAATTTCAAAAGTTATGTTTTCTGGATGGGTGATTTAAATTTTCGTATCGATCACCTCAAAAAATCTGAAGTGGAGTTAATGGTCAAACAAAAACGTTTTAACGAACTTCTACAGCATGATCAAGTAAACTAACATACCATATATCTATATTTTAGCTTCTTAATATGAAAAACGAAAAATTGTTATTTCATGATTTTAATGAAGGCACTATATCCTTCCCCCCAACCTTCAAATTTGACAAAGGAACGGATACATACGACAGTAGGTAATCACACATTTATTCATTGCGTTAACACAACTTGCTTCGTAGTTACTTTAAGTGGTAATAACTACTCCACTCCATATAATTAATTTAATGTTCTTGTCTAACCTGTATAACTCGTCCTGTACATAGATATATTTTGATTTGGGGCAAATTCTTCCTGGAGTATTAGTTTTGCTGGCTAAGAGTTTGAAATGTTTTCCCCATAAGTTTACAAAGAGTTTAAGATACCGCCAGAAAGAGTAAACCCATTTACGAAGTTACAGTGGTAGCATTCCTCGTTTCTTATAACCGTTGGTCACGTGGAAAAGCATTTTAAGGAATTCCTTCAATGGTGGTTTGCTATATTTGGATTGCTTTAATCATATTGATGTATTTTCGTGGCTGTGTTACGCTGTGGTATAATTACCACTTACAAACAAATAACTAGTTTGATATGAATTTCATCCCTCTACATATTAATTGTACTACAGAAATAAATTGAAGCGAGATCAACCTTATCTTTCTATAATGAATAGTTATTGAGTTTCAGTATGGTGACTAGTTTACATTCCTCACTACAAACAAAAGAAATTAGCTGAGTTTCTTGCTAGTTATATTTACGTGTTAGCGGGACATAGACTAGATTAAAGCATGCTCAATGCATGATTGCTTTGGTGCGCGCTGATTGGCTAATTCTTATCCAATCAGCACTAGCCGATAGTTAGAGAATACTCTGGAATCTTCTTATGTAAAAATTATAAATATACTGACGTTTTTCCCTATTGTGCTTCCTACTGGCTTCTGACTTGCTATTTGGAATATAATCTCTTTCCTGTTCAACCGTGTTTTGATTTGGGGACTTGTCGAGTGAATCGGTGTCCGAGAATACTAAGCAATAGGAATAGCTGGGTCATAACCGTAAGAAAACAGGATTATAACATTACGAAAGTTACTTTGTTTTATACAATTAAAGCTCGTAAAAATCAGAGTTGGTTACTTGTTACTCTGGGGAGGTCATCTACTGTTTCCAAGTTTAAAGTAGAAATTTCGAAAGGGAACTGATCCGATTGTTTAGAAGGTTTTGACATGTTTTGTTTTCTGGCCCCAAGAAGAAATCGTTCACTTAAATCATTTAATAAGTAAAGGCTCATATTCACGGCTTTGAGCTAGAAGTTTTGCACGAGGGCTGTTGACAGATGTTATGCAATTATCCAAAAATAAGTAGTTGGGGTGGGCCTCGAGTTTTCTGCCCTTGGGTCAAAAGTCAAGTGCTCTAATTTCTACCAACTCTATTATCATTTTGCCAACTAAAACTATTATCTAGAACGTATTTAAACCTATACTATTATCTTATCGTAGTAAAAAGCAGCGCGTTCCTGCGTGGACAGACCGTATATTGTATATGGTTCACCGAGATTTTGCTCTTGATCACCACCTTAACCTCCCTGAAAGTGACCGACAAAGACCAGCTAGCCCATCCCGTCGATTGCCTGTACGTGGGTCACCATCCGAAGTGGAAGAAAAGTTCCCAGCAAACAAATCTATCAAAGGGAGACAACACCCTGAGGCCGTTTTACTCAAGTATACTAGTTTGAATGAATACAAAACTTCGGATCATCGGCCAGTTATCGCAGTATTCAAATTATCTGTGCCTCCAAGATGGTTTAGCTTACCTGTCAAATTTATTGAGCCTGATGGTAAAGGTAGGAATTTTTACTGTGTTTCATTGATTTCACTCATATAATGTGTCCCATTTTTGAGTCTTGACTAATGATAGTTAATGTTACTCTAGTAATTCAGTACTTTCACCTTTCATAAGCCCCTCAATAACTTTACTTAACCAGCTGATGTAAGTGGTCGGTTTTCTGATCATAACTCATCACACTATTATTCTAACAAACAAAACTGTTTGTAGATCTATGATTTAATACTGACCAATATCTGTATATATTTTAAGTTGTGCTTGTTGAAAATAATACCATTAACGCAATGTCGTTTTGTGATGTGTAATATCGTTCTATTCATTACCATATGATTCGTACAAGTTGGTTATATATATATATATATGTATACAGCGTAGAATGAAACACTATGATATTCTTGTTTATTAACATGTGAAATTTTCAGACACTAGTCAGTGCTATCCTCGTGTGATACATACACTTTATTTGTCATTTTTTCGGGTCTGCAGCTGTTAAATAAATTATTGTATTGTGTTAGCTAAAAGTGACGGGGATCATAATCGCGTACAGTGGTTCAAGTACACTCACCCTTTTGTCTTCCTTTAGACCCTAAGTTTATTATATCTTTTCTAAAACCCATATTTCCTCGAAATATATTGTTTTTCTCTAATCTTTTCTATTAACGGTGATAGTGCTAATACTTCTATTGTTGTGACATCTCTGTGCTAATGTGATCTGACAACTTGATCCAGTACACACGTACCAGGCTATACGCTGTGTCTTACTGACTGAAAACAATTAGTGGACTTCCTAGATTTGCTGATTGATTAGCTAACTAATGTATGTTTCCACTTATTTTAGAAATATATCCCACGTATGCTTACTATAACTGGGTTATGAAAGCTATTTAATAAAATGATCTTAATGTAGTAGAATTTTGAGGTATTGCTTAAATAATCATTCGAAATCAAGTAATTTAAAGTGTGGTAAAACATTTCACTACAGAAGGAACTGTCAATGTTCCGAGTTCGACGTTTGGATGCTGATCTAATTGAGTTGAAAGTCTAGTCCCAATCTCAGCATTTTGTGGTGACTGAAGAGCTTTAATGAATATTAAGCATCTAAATTGGTCCTCTATTAATGAACGTAACATGAACTGTCCATGCTCCCTGTTGACAATATTTGCCAAACCACCATAATCATCGGCAATACGTTTTACCAAATTTTGACACTGATTTTGAACACTAAATGACAAAGATGATTCATTGAATATCTCTGACAGTTGGTCTACCGTCTCCTCTGAAATGATCTCTCGAGGCTAATTCGGCAATATGTAGTCAGCGTAGCGTACGTGTTCGTTACTTTCTGACTTACGCATCAACTATTGAGTCTTCCACGCGTCATCTTGTTTACCGAATTCTATTCTAAACGCTTCTTCCCAACGCTTGCACCACGTGAGGACAGTATTTCCACTTTCTGGGTCAATATTGACTTCCGGGTATTTGCTGGCAACTGGATCGCAAGAAGTAGTTAATAGCATGTAAACCCAAGCAGTGGATGTTAAGCTGCTGAGTCAGAGTTTCTAACAACCGCATTTATTCGTCAAGTCGTTCTTGCTGTTGTTGCCGAATTCGGTTGAGCTGGTTGCTTGATCCGCATCTTGAATGTTTACCTTTCCCGTCGCCACTCTTATAATCTCCTTTGTTACGACCCAACTACTCACTGCTTAGTATTCTTGGGACACTACTTCACTCGACAAGTCCCCAAACTAGAACACGGTAGGACAGAAGTGCAACTACATTCCAAATAATCCGGGTTGAACGGAAGTAGGAATCACAATAAAAAGACTTTAATATATTTATAATTTTACACAAGAAGATCCTAGAGTGTTCCCCAAATATTCGCTAGCGCTGATTGAGTGAGAAATGACTAATCAGCGTGCCAAAATACAACCCTGGACGGAACAAGTTTTAATCCAATCTATGTCCCGCTTATAGGAACATACGTACTTGTGAGTATACTTTGGGAATGGAAAGTAGTCATTATGAAAGCAAGCTCGTGCAAGATATATTGAAGTACTCCTATATTTCACTTGTAATAAAAATCGGGCAGTATGTCGATACAGGTTTAAATCGAAGATGTGTCATACGACCACCACATATTCTTTGGAATTCAAATGGTTCATTTTTTCCTACTCATCTACCTGGTTACATTAGTTCACATCGACGTCATTCATCTACATATTTGATAGGGTTAGTAGGGTAAAAAAATGGTAGCGTTTCCTGGTATATAAAAGCTTGCTAGCAATTTGTTCATGACTTCAATTTTCGTTTATTATATCATGTTTGTACTGTTGTGTTTGAAAGAACCTCACTTGATTCTTATCTTCTAAATATTCTAGCATATTCATTCAATGCCAATTTGGAAATATCGTACCAAGTTCTTGATCCACCCGGCCTATTAAGGCTTTCAGAAACAAATTCATTACTTTCATCCAAACAATATGTTCCAGTATCTGATTTTGCCAAACTACTCTTATTAAATACACTAGGACACTCTTCAAAATCGGGAAAATCAGAAAGCACAAATGATGATGATTTAGGCCCACTGGCTCCACCAACTTTACAAACTACATCATTTGACTGGATAGCCCTTTACCCAGCAGAATTCGCAGATCTGGAAAAAGATTATATAACCTACGTTTATGCATCAAGTAATGTATCTCAAGCGAAGCATCGAAAAAATTCTGTTTCTTCCGCCCTATTGCAGCCTTCAAATACAGCGAAATTTCAAGAGTTATATAAGGCTAGAATTGAATCAAGTCGATTAAAGGATTTACCTGGTCAATCATTTTGTCTTGTTTATATGAGTCGCAATAAACACTGTCCTCAGGGTTATAGTTTACCTTTCAAAGTGAGTTTCTGGCGAACACGTCAGTGACTATATACTGCATTTTATGTTTATCTAAAAAATGGTCATATTCAATTTGACCGATATAACTCTTAGCTAGTTCAATATAAAGTAAATTACATTTTGCTTTATAATCTTGGAGAAAGGCTCGTTTACGTCTATTTTATAAGTGTTTGACAAATTAGAATACTCGATGTCGAAGTAGAATGTTTTAATTCTTCGGGATTATGTCCATACCATGTGGGTTCGGAATTTTTGACCCGAATGTGTAGAAGTATTTTGTTCAGTATTTCTTCATTAAACCGACTAGAAGCTCTAATTATCCAAACTAGAAGAATCAACAAATTCATGAAAATTCTGTAGGACCTCGACTATTTGTAGTCTCGACCAGTGAAACAACAATACTGTGTGTGATTGATCAACTTTTGCGGGTGAGATTTCATTTTTAAATGTAGTCATTCCTTCTTGAATGTAACAATTGATTTACAGTTCTTGTTGTGTATGTTTGACTTTATTGTTGGAGTCCTTGGGATAATTTTATTGCGTAGTCAAGGGCTATGCTGCGTTGCTCAAAATCGGTTGCATTAGGAAAGATGCATTCATTCTTTATCTACTCCTGTCTTGACTTTAACACTTTTTCGTAATCTTGATTACCTATTGTCGTTCATTTGATTTAAATCGTATTCGTTAAATTCAGTTTCTACGCCATTGCCACCATATTTTTAGTCTCATTGTCAGTCTTGCTAGTTATTTTCTTTTCTATGCTGATGTAAAACGTGATAACGCATACCGATGTATATTTGTGGAAGACCCTAAGTTCTTTGTGTCCGTTTCTGTGATTGTAATTATATTCGCTTTTCCCTTACTACAAACAGTTTTACAACCTTTAAAGCCTTCAAAGAATCAAACCATGCTCCCGATTTATCATCCTTCCTATTTTTCTACCATTAAGTAACTGTTTTGTTAGTTATATTGTGGCTTCAACTTTCAGTGAATTCAGTCTATTACTATACGTAAGCCGTTTACGTATGTTTGTGAGTGTACACACTACGTACTTATATAGTTATTGTCAGATCAGAGGCAATTTTATACGTATAAACACTATCCTGTATTTATAAAAGAACTATTTGCATATAATATAAAGGTAACTAAAATATAGCCTAATAATCTTGCTGATCTGTTAATCCCTATTATCAATCATATATATATATATCCAAAGTGATCCTAGATTATTATACGTCAGCGATTTCTTCTATATGGTTATTAGTTTGTCTTTTGTATATGTCCTTTTTGATTTTATATCTATCCTATCTTACTACAACATAATTCTACTCAACTTTTCACCTCTTTAACACACTCTTCATATCAGATTCGTACTGTAAGTTTGAAAACTTAGAATTCATTATATATGCATAACAATCTGATGAGTCGGCTAACACGCTAATGATTATATACATACTCATTGTAGATACTTATTACACATCTAAAATAACTGATTTGTTACATTTTCTCACCTTTCACAACATAATATCGAGAACAGTATTTATTCATTGTTTACTCTTACTTGGTTTCTGTCTTTTCTATATACCCCTTCTTTGCTGTTATAAGATGCCATAGCTTTGGTAGTTACGCACATTTACCAAGTCGTATACCATTTTGTGTATATTAGCGTTCTCTTCTATACTTTATAATATACTACTTTAATTAACAAATATATGATACTTTATACAGTTATTGTTTTCTGTACATAATGTTTGAGAATTAACACGTAATTATTTGCAAATAAATACTGACCATTCTTTTATTTGTGAAAACTGTTTGACACCAATCCTACTTAAAGTATATCATTGATTCCATTAATCATTAACCATTAGCCTAACTGCATAATTTACTGTATATTGTGGGTTTCTGCTTCTCGTTCTTCCTGTTTTCCGAAACCCTTTGAGTATTAAAAAACGACACATCATGTGATTGTCAAAACTAATATATTAAATAATTTTAAAAAAAAATTATATTTAATTCTTTATAGGTTAAAAAGTTAACGAAATTAAAGAAATTACTACCGAAATTTCTTTTGTCTAAAAGAAAACCATCGTAATAAGTAATTATAGTTGGTAATATAATCTTGTTTATTGTGTAGAATTTGTGTTATAAAAACTATATATAAAGATATCACTTTTGTTTTTAGCTATACCAAGTTTTTGTTTTTCATTTGAAAATGATTTTGTGTTGGTGATGGGGTTTCAGGGTTGATGATCTTATTTAATAAAATGATGATAACATGTCGAATCTATCAACTATATAGTTGATTCTCTTGAAGCAACCTCAATTTTTTGTTATGGGTGATTGATGCACTTCAAATAATTGTGATAAAGCATTTCTAACTGTGTAACCTATTTTTATCTACACAATTATTTCAAATTATATTAAACGTCATTAATCCATGTTAACTCATACTGAAAGTAACCACTTTAATAAGACTATGTATGTAATGAATAAAAGTAAAGAGATCTTTAAAACTGAAGCTCAGTCACCATAGATTTCACTGATGGATTGCTATGTTTAACGATTTATGTGAGTTTCATTGCCATTCTTTAGGTAACTGAAAGTTCTTTTTAATTGTTGGCTTTCGTTTTAGAATGATGTATCTTCCTTAAATCAGTGTACGTTCGAATTAAAACTTAATTGGGATTTAAATGCATGCTGTAAACCTTATAATAGCATTCATTTAGCATCATCGAATGGGCAATAGTAACGATTTGCTTAGTATAAATTACATTCGAAGATAATGTTCTTCGTGGGATGACATAAACTAGCGAATCATTGAAGGCAAAATAACACTGTTTTGTTACAGCTAAGGATCTCAAAATAGTACGCACCTATCACACCATACATGGGATTAAATGTTGACATTCAAGTTTCATGGAAAATGTGATATTCAGCTATCTAGTATGTGTTTAACTCGGCTCTAAATCATACTGTGTTAAAACTATGACATCTATTCATCTAAACCATAGATTATCATTAAATGTACCTTCCTATTATTGACAAACATTTTTTTGGAACAATGCACAAATCACATCATCATTCAAGCTAGAAACTATTAACTGATAATCATATTAGCTGGAACCTTGTATATTTTGAATAGATCCAAGTCGTTACACTTTATAACAGTACATAAAAAGGAAGATAATTAATAACTGTAATGCATTAAATTAATCAAGAAGAATATTGATTAAGGATAGAATATAAATGACAAATAACAGTTCTTATTACATAGAAGTAACCAGTATATTACTACGTTTTAACCTAATTTATTTTAAACTATATTATATAGGGTCTCCATTAACATTTTCTATTATACGAAAGAGTGCGATCAGAGAATCTCCCTGCTTATGCGTAATCCAAGAAAATGGTCAACAGCTTAATTAATAATCAGGTGTTTTGCAATATTAATTTAAGTTGTGAACTATGACAGTGTTATAGAAATTCTATAAATACAACTCTAGAAACTAGGACATATAATTTTATACAAACAAAGATTATCACTTTAAAATAAAAAATGACAGTTTTAAAATATCTTAACGAAATTTAATACAACTTAGTAATTGAATACAAGTTCATGTATATTTTTAAGTGGGAACTATCAGTAGTATCCAAGTGACGTAAATGGAATAAATGCTTTAACTATTAAAAAATTGCCTCTATATGTATTATGTGTCTACTACGTACTTAGATTTTTCTTATACTTGAATACTGTAATAGAGTACAAAAACAAATATTAAATATGTCTTACAATTTGTATCAATTTTGACCATTTTAATTAAAACGACAACAGTTAAATGAAGTTATTTTATGACTAGAAAAATTTCCCGTCTAGTATTCTAACAACCATTGGCCGTATGATTTGTTTCCATACGTTATTTATACATAATAACAGACAGAATTAGTTCAAGTGTTTTATAAACCAAGTGTAATGTAAACATCTTAAGAAATAATCACCGGAAACTTCGAAATTACTTACTTATACCCGTTACTTGTCATGAAGGAGAATGGGTCGCCCACCAGCATTCTCTATCGAACTCTGTTCTGGGTAATACTTCCCGGTTGTTCTTGATTGCTGATCATTATTTCCGTGTCTCCCTTCGATTCCCAAAGCAATGTGTTCCTTAGTCTGCCACTTTTTTTATTATCTTCAGCATTCCAAGTTACGGCTTGCCTCGTGATGCAGTTTGGTGATTTCCGCAATGTATGTTATATCCACCTCCATAGCCTTTTACTGATTTCCTCTTCAGCTGGAAGTTGGATTGTTCTCTCCCACAGTAGGCTTTTGTTGATGGTATCCGGTCATAGGACACTCAGTATCTTGCACAGACAATTGTTTGTATATATTGGTACATTTTTTTATGATGTTCGTAGTAGTTCTCCAAGTTTCAGCTACGTACAGTGAAACTAATTATATTGACGTTCATATTAAACACTCTTTGATATTGTTTGACAGTTGTTTTGAGTTCCATATGTTCTTCAATTATAGGAATGCGGCCCTTGCTTTACCATTCCTCGCCTTTACACCTACATCAGATACCCATTGTTCACTGATAATGTCCATGTATGTGGAAGTTTTCACATCTTCCAGAGCTTCTCCATCAAGTGTGATTGTGTTGGTTCTGTCTGTGTTGTATTTGATGATCTTGGTTTTTCCATTGTGTATGTTGATACTTACTACCACAGAGGCTGCTGGTATACTGCTTGTCTTGATCTGCATTAGTCGGTGTGTATTGGATAGAAGATTTAAATTATCTGCGAAGTCCAAATCGTCTAGACCCATTCAAGCTCTCCATTGCATTCCGAGCTTCTCCTTAGATGTGAGAGTCTTCGTAATCCAGCCATCTACTGTAATGAAGAGAAAGGGTGAGTGAGGAGGCCTATCCGACACCTGAAATGCATCTGTACTGCTGCCTTATATTCACGACTCTGCAGTATGGTCTATCGTAAGAATTCCGTATGATGCTGACATTGTTTTCAGGTACACCAGAGTGTCGAGGAAGTTTGTTTTATCTACTCTGTGAAATGCTTTCTCAAATTCGAGTAAGTTGATGTGTGGTGAGGAATTTCATCCAACTGGTTGCTGTAGCCTGTTGATTCAGAAGTTGGACATTTACTGAATCTCTCATCTGGTTCAATATTACCCTGTTGGAAACTTTCCGAGTACTGATAGTATTGTGATGTCTCTGTAGATCACACACGTGTTAAGATCTTTTTTCTTTGGTTTCTTGGTTAGATATACTTTTGCATCTGTCAGCATTTGTTCTTCCCAAATCTTCCTAAATAGAACATGGATCATGTTTGCATTTGTTTCTATCTCTGAGTTCAGTGTTTCAGCTGGTATATTGTCAGGTCCAGCTCCTTTCGCACTCTTGATTTTTGTGATGTTTGGTCATTGTGATTTCTTCTATCGTTGGTGCAGCGACATCTATAGGAATTTCTATGTGTGCTGCTTCAGTGGAGTTGGTTTATTCAAGAGTTCTTTAAATTGCTCTACCCACCTATCCTACTGTTCTTGAATCTCAGTGATCGGCTTAAGAAATAATCACCGAAAACCTTGAAGTGGTAATCATTTATTTCATTCCTACATAACTTTTTTACTAGGATTAGTGATTTGAATGACTTTTCCTGTCAAAACATTTAAAATTAAAAATTGAAATATAACTACAGATTGCTTTTTATATCTTAAGAATGTATAAAACCATTAGTGTATAACATTCCGCTGATTTATTTGTCAGATAATCATTTCTTTTAAATTTCACAACAACAAAAGTAAGAAGATAGAATGTTATAAATAGTAATCTGCTATTCAAATTTTTAATGATACTGTTTTGAACATTTTTTGTGTATTATAAATCGTCAGTAATATTATTATTATTATCTTTCAGTTACAGAATTAATTATATACTCAACTTATAGAAAAGGATGTTTGATCAATGGACAATAAAACTTTGAAAGATTCATAATGTCTCCTGTTTATTAGTTACCTCAGATATACAAACATGTCAACCTCATTTATCTTACTCTATGTTGTGCTGTTTTAACTGTGTTTTCCTTGTATGTATTACGCTGATTATTAACATTATTTCTCGTTTAGTATCGTGATTATGTTGTTTCTTCTGTTTTATTCACTTCGTGATCGTGTACTTTCATTCTTTTTCTATTGCTTTTGGTTTTTTTATTTCATGCGAAACTCGACTTTAAAGCAATATATAAGTGTATTATTTGTTTTGTGATTAAGCACTTAAAATTTTTGTTTTTGGCTTTTTGATTATAGAATATATCTCACAGTGTAATAAGGTGGCTTACTGTTTAAATTGTTCAATTACCTACCACTAGATTTGAGGTTCCATTGTTGCTTCTAGTTCAGTTTGGACGGCTAGTTAGTACTGTGGTGTTGGTTGCTTATATCCACACAAGTAGTATATAACGGTGGTCAGGCATAGAATGTATTTCAGTAGAAGGTCGATGAGGAAAGAACGGGAACGGAACGCAATTGGTGTGAAAACGCATGAACAATGGATTGATGTTTGCGACAGGAACGGTCAAGTTTGAGATGACGGATTATATATTTTGTAAATTAACGATCTACTATATGGTTCTCAGATTTCATTCACTCCAGTATCACTAGCTCTCTCATATAAAGTTGATCAGTACTCAGTAACTTAGTTAAGTTATATATTGAGGCGTTGTTGATCAACACACATACTTTATTTTGGACTTGAGGGGAAGTTATAAAAGAATGGTCATAAAATTACTATTCCAACCTATTTTTATCATTTTAAATAGGATGATCTTGTTCGTGATGAAAATTGATAAAGCACTTTTAACTAATGAGAGTACAACTCCAGCACCTCTCGTTTACGTTATTTGTAAATCATTATCAACATGTTTAATTCTCTCAAAGGAATTTTAAAGCTCGTTCAAATTGACTAATCAACTGCCAAAGTCATAGTTATTGTATTTTTTTGACACTAAACAATAAGTTGTATCATTTTTGGGTTTATATACTGAACAGTATTGAGGTAATGCATCAAATGTCTGAGATTTGAGTAACATTTTCAAGTATGGCCGTTTTATTAAACAACAGGTCAAGCGTAGCAAGGTTATTAACAAGTCAGAATCAGAATGCTAAGGACTATATGTTCTAACAGTAGGATAATCGCTTATTAAGACGCTAATGAATAACTTAATTGTTAATTGATTGGCTTTCTGTTCAGGACTGTGTAACAACAACGCCGAAACTTGTTGCTATTTCGCGCTGTCATTGCGTTATAACTACAATAAGCTATTTTTATTAGATAAATAACACTATTAAAAAGTTTCCCCCTGCAAAAACCAGAACAAGTTATTTCATAAACGTTCTACAAGGAAGCAATGTAAATTATCGGCGAAATTCCTCGAAAAGTAGTTCTAGTAGCGTGTGCAGATTCAAAATCGATCCCCTAGGTTTAGTGGTACAACAACATATAACAATTGACCATTTATTGACTCCTTTTGATTATCATATCTTGAGGTACCGATCTTACAATCAGACAGTTTTCCTGTCATTCTTACGAATCTTGTTTACTTCATCGTATCTATTTGCTTTGTTTAGTCACTAAACTGTCATAACCTATACATGTTAACCGAACTTGTTTAAAACTAATAACGTATACAAATGGTTTCAATCTAATAAAGCAGTCAAATTAATTGAAACATCAGCCACTTATTTCCTAAATAAAAACCATTAGTTTTGTTAGAACTTATTATATCAGGTTTGTAGTTGTATGTTAAATTAGTCAGTAATCTCAAACTTAAATATCATAAAGCTGTATATGAAAAATCACTGATATCGTGATAAATGTGATAAATATTTTAGAAGTTAAGTCATGTTGGAAAGTATAACCCAATAAGATTTAAATTTGACAGGTGTTTGACATACAAATAAATCTATCAGGGATGCAGTTGTGAGGCTAGGTAAGCTTGTAGGAAGTTATTATCATATGAAAGTAGTTTTCGTCTGGAATTGAGGTCAGTTAACTTTCAGTTCTGGGTGGTTTAGCTAACACCAATTCATGATAAGAATGACCTTAATGTGCTATAATTCTCGCAAAACGATCTCGGCGACCTTCATACAGTGATCTTTAGACGGTAGTGATGCTGATAATTCTGGGTTATTTTAACAAATATGGAAAAATCACGTAATTGCCAGTCTTAGTCTTGTATAAATTTTAATTCTATCTAATTGAGCATGATGAATTAACTGATTATGTATAAGTTTTCCGTAAATATATATAGGGATGTAATTTAAATGATATCTAAAAGTAATGTCCAGTAATCAAGCTTTTGTAACTCTGTAGTGGTCGGTATTCGATATATCCCTTAAACTTCGTATACAATTCGTCTTGATAACCGTCCTATTTAACCCCAACGGTATATTATTCAGAAGGCGAATACGAAGCGTTGATTACGTTTATTTCGAGACCACACACACATGTCCAAAATTACAGATGCATTAAACGAGCATTAAGAGTTGTGTCGAACGGCAAACAGGCAAGCGAGCGAGCGACTGAGCGAATGTAAGTAATCGAATACAATCAAGCGAGCGAGAAAGCAGAGTCAGCCATATGAATAACATGGACATATATATAGCATGTGAAATTAATGAGTAATCGAATCAAATAAGCGGTTAGTAGTGAGACTAGCAGTGTGAACAAATGCGTAGGCCGTAAGCAATATTCAAGCATGCGTATTTCATACAAGCACAAAATAATAATAAGGGTACAATAAATTGTTATAGTGCGGATGGCTTTGTCCGCTAAATAAATTAGCAAAAGGGCTTAACTGAATTAAATGAGAATAAACCCATTTGCACGTGAGTCGCTATAACTCCAGCGTCATTTTTTATTTCCTACCATTTCTGTGGACATCATATATGATCTCCTAATTTACTAATAGTAACCCAACTTATTGTCAATTTACCTATTTATTGTAGATCATCTGTAAATGAATATCTGATAGGAAGGATTTTGTATGTGATCCATATCAAATTTAGCAGATCAATGTAGACTTAGTATTCTTATTTGTTGTGTTTAAAAATCACACTCGAAAATTATCTCTTTAATTTTTTATAACTATGGATATTATTTTTTAAAATCATTTAAACACCTACCATTTGAGTGGAATATATTAGTGTTGTTGTTTATTATTTGTTTTATTTTTCTGTGATATAATTGTCATGACAAATAAACGTTAGTACAAAATCATTTGTTCATGATTCCGGAAAAAAACCCAGTTTATTCTATAAAGTTGGTCACCATCATAAAATAAAAATTAAGATGGGTTTTATGTACTCTGGAAATGATCCCTTCTAGGCAGTCATAACTTTCATTGAACTACTCATTAATTTGGTTACATAAGTATTCTTCAGTAACCAAATTTATACTATTATATAACCTTAAATATTTCTTTATTTCTTCTTTGGTCAATAAAGTTCGGAATTAATGTATGCATGTAATCTAATTGAATATGCATACGGCATATATATATATATGCCAGAGTGCCAATACACTAGTCTCCTTTGTACTTTTTTGTTTATACATTTCTAAATGTTTCTACAAACTAATATAAAATTATCAGAAGGGGTTTTGTGGAGATTTTTTAGAAATTTCAATAGTTGAAATCATGAGTCAATTGAAGCTAGACCACTATGGAAAACCTGGAAGCACTGAATGGCCGTCTCGTCCTATAGTGAGTGTCCTCAGCAGTGTGCACCCACTATCCCGCCTCGCGGGATTCAAACTTAGGATCTGTCGGTCTCTAGACCTCTAGACCACTGAGCCGGTATCCAACAGTGTTAATGTCTAGCTTCAATTAATCTACACAATTGAGCGACACATGCACCATTGCCTCCAGTGAGTTACTATCTCACAAAAGACTCGGCTGAATCCCACTGGCCACCGCTTCCCACTAGAACTCCAGGATATACCTCTTGAAGCCAATCACTAGTGAGCATATGTTGATTAGTATGAGAAGGGGTTTTGTGGAGTTTGTGGTAATTTAAATAGTTGAGATCATGAGTCGGTTGCTGAGGAGTCCCACAGTAAAACGAAACGGCCGTCCAGTGCTTCCAGGTTTTCCATGGTGGTCTAGCTTCAACTAACTCATGATCTCAACTATTGAAATTATTACAATCTCCACAGGACCCCTTCTATTACAAATATATTAATTTATTTATAATCAAACCATCTGTTTAACGTTTTAACCAGAATTACCATTCAATACTTACTATATGATCATAAATAAACTTTGTTTATCATTTTGTATCAGGGTCATCAACAAAATTTGAACGATAATAAAAAATATTCAGTTAAAATCATAGTCATTTTAGCGTCTAAAATGAGTTACTTACATATTTATTTCGTACAGATCACTTTGTTGGAGATAGAATAATAGATGGTTGTAGTTGATACGAAATATATCAAGCTTAATACTAGATGATTTCATCCATCATTTTCTTCGGACCAACAGCTTGGACTTTTTTTATTCGACTAAATGATAGATTTTTTTAGCAAGGATCGTCATTCTAGCTGACCAGTGGTACGTTGTGTTATAATTATCAGTTTCTTATTTGGCTACATATAGGTTCCTCATGCTGACAATTTAAATCTAGCTTAGTAACCCAAAATTCCGAAGTAAATCATTACTGTCGAAGGTGATATACTAAAAATTGATGATCTAAACTGTGTAACTCCCTTACGAATATCACACTAAGTTACCGAAAGCGAACTGGCTTGCCTTGGAAGTATTTTAAAGGAATAGCCGTTCAGTTTGAAGTATGGGTGTACAGTAAAAATTTTTATGACAGTTTCCTTAGCTGATTTGTTTCTTATTTGCTGGATAGTATCATGGATCATGTTGAAAATTAC